GGGGGGGGTTATTGTGACTCCAAGATCCGGAGGTTAGCATTTAGTAGAGTTTAGGGTTTAGGGTTTAGGGGCTGGACAAGTAAGGATGAGAAACCTGTTATCAGGCGTCACTCGAGTGGCTCTCCCAGTCCAAGCTGAGATGATTTTCGGCCGCCTCGCATGCCCAACCGCTGACGACTTCAAGGCCCGCCCTCTCTACGTTTGGTACGACTACCTTTGCTGTCCGCAGGGCGTGTCTTCGACTGCTGCGCGACAGCGCCATTCCGCCATTCGCAGCATTCCTTCCTACGTCTCCAAGTGTGAGTACTTCGTCATCCTTTGCCCAACCGTCGAACGTGCGGACAAGAGCGAGATGCTTGATCTTGCGACCTGGGCAGCTCGAGGAGGGTCAGGGGTCAAAGCATAAAGCAAGAAGGTTGAACCGAAAAAGGTTGAATCGAAAGCACATGGAGGATAAATCAAAAATCTCAGGGGATGAGCTCAAAAGCTAAAGCAGGTTCAGCTTGCACCCTAAACCCTAGACACCGCGGGGGGTCTGGGTTTTTTTTTCTCCGTCTCTCGGCTCCTTGGCTCCGGTGGCTTTAACTCGGTGTTTAGGGTTTAGGGTTTAGGGTTTAGGGTTTAGGTGGTTTCTTGACTCTCTTGCTTTGGCTTCCTCAGTTTTGCCGGATCTTGGCTTCGTCGCGAGTGATGCACCCGTCCATGTGTGACAGCAACTGCACGACGTTAGCCGACGTTAGCCAACATAGAGGCACAGCTAACTCTACCAATATGATGTTGGATCTTCTTATATTCATGAGCTATACTACACTATTCCCCAATTTTTTTCTGAATATCAAGGCCCCTATATCAGTCATACGCTGCCGATGCAGCCCTAGTAACTCCCACTACTGTTACACACAGGGCTGCGCGACTCCTGGACATTGAAGGAGCATTTCAGGCGTGGAAACTATTTACACATTGCAAAATTATACAGTATGCTGTTTATATACATGCATACATACATACATACATATATATATATATATGCGTGTGTGTCTATTTTTATCTGGTTTATTTACTTGCATACTTGTTTGCTACCTTTTGTTTGTGTATTTACTGTTTATTTGTTCATGTAGAATACACGTACATGTATGTGTACATGTATATACAGGGTTATGCAAGTATTGATGTGCAGATACACATATATATGTATATATATATACAAACGTGTTTGCACTCTAAGAGAAGTTGTGTACACATGATGTAGGGGTTCTTGCATTGTGTATACATATATATATATATCTCTCTCTCTCTCTCTTTATCTATATATATATATATGCATCTGTTTGTTCAGTCGCCACATATTTACACACATACATATATATATATATACATGTTTATATTTGTTCATTTAGATGCATGTGCATACTTGGAGGTGTGCATGCTGGAGGGGGGTGCCGCCCCCAACCCACCAGTCCCGCTGAAGCCACGCCTAGCCATGTGTATCAAACCATCGCATGATTCAATTATATCAATTCGAACATCTGTATCTGTTTCTAGTATACATCTATATCTACGTCATCTATATCTACGTCTATGTCTATGCATATATGTGTAACTGGGTGCATACCTATACCTCCACCTGTACTCATATGTATGTGTTTATATACATGTAAAGATAGGTATATCCGTTTCTTCATCTATACCAAATCACCTACATGTAAGCCCCTATATTTATCAACATCTCGGCCTGCATCTTTGTCTGCAACTATATCTATATCTTTATCTGTATCTGTACCTATATCTATGTCTAAGTCTTTGGCCATGTCTGTGTCCATGGCTATGTCTAAACCTGTATCTGCATCTTTATCAATGTCATATATTCATCTATACTTGTGTGCGAAAGTAGCTGCATCTGTGGATCTTTTCTTGCCCTCTCTGCGGAGTTTGAGAAAAGAGATCAACTGCGGTCGCCCTGTTCTGGTCTGCCCTGGTATTATGTAAAAGAATGGTATTGTCAGTATTTGTTGGCAGATTAAGCAAGTTGCTTTGATCCCCCGCCATTCTCTGCTGTCGCCCGCCTGCTACCAGAGCTGCTACTGCTGCTCATTATTGTTACTATTGTTAGTATTGTTAGTATTGGTATTATGCGAACAGACCTCGATGCCTCTCACAATCATGAGGTATCGCGTTGTGAGCTTTGAGACATGTATATTAGCCAGGACGGAGCGG